TTTTGTCCATTTTCGTAATGGGGTCCCTTGAAAATGGGGTTTTCCTTTAAAGGGCCTACAGTGATGCCTATATCTTCCCCAATTTTCATCCGATTCTCAAGCGGAGTACCTTAAACGATTTATAGATCGATAGCCCACCATTTTGCATCAAAATCCTAAGTCAAAATATTTTTTAGATTTTTTGTCCACTTTTGTGATGGAATCCCTTGAAAATGGGGTTTTCCCCTAAAGGGCCTACAGTGATGCCTATATCTTCCCCAATTCTCATCCGATTCTCAAGCGGAGTACCTTAAACGATTTATAGATCGATGGCCCACCATTTTGCATCAAAATCCTGAGCCAAAATATTTTTTAGATTTTTTGTCCATTTTTGTGATGGGATCCCTTGAAAATGGGGTTTTCCTTTAAAGGGCCTACAGTGATGGCTATATCTTCCCCAATTCTCATCCGATTCTCAAGCGGAGTACCTTAAACGATTTATAGATCGATTGCCCACCATTCTGCATCAAAATCCTGAGTCAAAGGATTTTTTACATATTTTGTCCATTTTCGTAATGGGGTCCCTTGAAAATGGGGTTTTCCCCTAAAGGGCCTACAGTGATGGCTATATCTTTCCCAATTCTCATCCGATTCTCAGGCGGAGTACCTTAAACGATTTATAGATCGATTGCCCACCATTTTGCATCAAAATCCTGAGTCAAAATATTTTTTAGATTTTTTGTCCACTTTTGTGATGGGATCCCTTGAAAATGGGGTTTTCGCCTAAAGGGCCTACAGTGATGCCTATATCTTCCCCAATTCTCATCCGATTCTCAAGCGGAGTACCTTAAACGATTTATAGATCGATAGCCCACCATTTTGCATCAAAATCCTGAGCCAAAATATTTTTTAGATTTATTTGTCCATTTTTGTGATGGGATCCCTTGAAAATGGGGTTTTCCCCTAAAGGGCCTACAGTGATGCCTATATCTTCCCCAATTCTCAAGCGGAGTACCTTAAAAGATTTAAAGATCGATTGCCCACCATTCTGCATCACAATCATGAGTCCAAGGATTTTTTAAATATTTTGTCCATTTTCGTGATGGGGTCCCTTGAAAATGGGGTTTTCCCCTAAAGGGCCTACAGTGATGCCTATATCTTCCCCAATTTTCATCCGGTTCTCAAGCGGAGTACCTTAAACGATTTATAGATCCATTGCCCACCATTCTGCGTTAAAACCCTGAGACAAAATATTTTTCTGATTTTTTGTCCATTTTCGTGATGGGATCCCTTGAAAATGGGGTTTACCTATATCTATACTATACCAAAACAAGTAAAACAATATATCGAATACGTAAGGTGTTAATATTCATTTATGTTTTTATAAACATATATTTTTTATATAAATGTATAAATTGAATAATTAAGTTTATTTTTTGTTTAATTAAAAAGAAAAGTTATGTGGCTTTTATAAGAAGGTCCTATGGGGTTTGCAAAAAGTGTTTAAATATTTTGTTTGAAAATTTTACGTTCGAGTCTTAGTCTTGTTCTGGTTTTTGTGATTATAAGTTGGAAGTCACAAATATCGGATGGGAATAGAATAAAATGTGAGTAGGTACGTTTGGTATCGGTCGTCTACATCCTACACATTCTTTTAAGGATCAGGCTATATCCAATATGACTCCACTGACAGCTCCACACACTATACCTGCAGGTATCTGCCCTTTTCTTCATTTTTCAGCCCATTTTCCACAGGACACGATTTTCACTTTTGTAAGGCCACTTTTGGGGTTGATCACAAGATTCCTGAAATTAAAAATGTAATTTTCTAGTTTGCCAACTTGTTAAAGGCTTGAAATCTTTAATACTTTAAATTTTTAATATAATACTTACGGAAACCCAGAATCGAACCACCAGTCCAACCCTAATTCTTTTTCCAAATTATTAGAAGCATTTCCATCCTCATCTCGATCAAAGGTCGAAAATTTGGTGCCCCTCCTAGGGCTCAGCCATGAGTCCAGTACACTCGCCATCTTTCAAGATATAGCCTTCGTTTCGATTGCCTACAACAAAGTTGGCACATTTTAAGCCGTCACGCCATAAAGTCATTTCATAAGGAATTCCCATGGTCAGAAGGTGCAATGTATCGAGTCCTAAGAAGAACTCATCTATTTGAATAGTATGTTTTTTTATAAACCACCATCCAACCAGATCCAATATTCTCGTCGGATACACAAACCACTTTCATCGGATGTGATCCGGATATTTGGATTTCTTGAATGGAGGGTCCATCCTTTTGGCTTCGTGGACAGCTATATGGAAGAGCTATGGAATTCGATATTTTATTTTGAAAAGTGGAGGGCTCTGCCAGGTTACTTTGGGTTGGACTTTTCGCCTTCCGATTACGACTATTATTCTTTTGATGTTCTGACACTTCTGCAGTTTTCACTTTCACTTTCTCTGTTTTCGAATTCGGGTGATTATTTTTAATCGCAACTTCAGTTTGTGGCACTTCTCCACTCTTTTCTCCAAATGAAAGCTTAATGATTAAAATATAAATGTCTTTCAAAAAACCTCGGGCTCTCTAATCCTTGTGGCGAAGATTGGCTGTTTGCTGCTGTTTTCTAAGGATTTATCTGCGGGATATACTGCAGGACTTTAGTTTAATTATGAAAAAAATACGAACTATATCCAATACAACGAAGTCTAACTCCTATCAATTACTATTAGTCTCTAATTGTAGGCTTATTGTTATGTTTACATTATTATAATTGGAAAAAAAAAATTAAAAAACTTCTAGGGAATCCTATAAGTCAAAAAAACTCACTTCCTTACTCACTCAAAAACAAAATGATAAAAAAATTGTGATAACATTGGGTATAGATTCTTGTGTGCTTTCCTATTTTTTTTAGAAAATTTCAAAGAAAAGATAATGATTGCTTAGGGAGAGCAAGATCATGATACAATTATACAATGTATAATATGCAATGTATAATTATGCGTTCCTTGCAGTTCCTTCCTTGCAGTTCCTTCTTCCACTTTTTGATGTTAAAGGATTGAAACTTAAACGTGACGTTTTCAGCGATATTAGTTGTACATATATATATCGGATGTATTTTTATTTTTAAGTTTCTGGTTTAAAAGCATTTACAAAATGGTTTCTGGTAAACTAGTCTTGACGTGACTCAATTTTTCCAAGTGTGTGGTTATCCTTGTCCTTGTTCTAGGAGGGTCCTATAGTAGTTGCGCAGATTTCGCTTTTCCCGGTTGAAAACCCTTCTTTGCTGTTTTGCAATTATAGCCGTCACACTCCTTGAGAGTAAGTCATCCCTTGCACCGAAAAATTGCTGCACATCCTCCATCTGGAAGACCTTGAAGAAAGCAACCAACTCCAAAGCCACTAGGATCAACGACGCCGCTATATCCTTAATTTGCTTGAACATCCAGCCTCGTCCCCAGGGCCAATGATGGCATGCCATTTTAACGAGGTAATGAACAGTTTCCCTGAGGGGAAACCACGTTAGGACCAGAAGGACTTGGACCGCTATGCAGAGGATCAGGATTTTCGCAATCTTCTTCAGAACATTTGGATTGTAACTCGAATTCCGGCGCATGATTTTATTGAAAGCCAGCATGGTGAGGAATATGAACACAGCCGACTCCATGGTGGCCTCGATGGGATTGAAGATGACATCACTCAAATGGCAAAAAAGGGAAATCCCCAATGCAATGATATAGGTCTTCTCCATGTTGTCCAAATAAAAATAATTATATTATAAATGTTTAAAATCTTACTATAATTTTTAGGAGAACTGAGAAGTAGGAGCTCTTTTTAAAAATGGAGTGATGTTTGGGGCGATTTGTTTTAAATTGTTTTCATCGCCTACTATTTTTATGAATTTAAGGTCGAGAATTATTCAGGTAATTTTACTTGTAGGTTTATGGCAATATTTAATTGGATTGGATTAATTGGAATTTAAAATTAATTTTTCGAAATAAAAACACTCTGCACGGGTATTACTTCTTCCGATCCGAGAGAAGCGGAAATGAAAAAAGTTGAGATGAGGACCACTGGTAGGAACATTTTCTATTTTTTGATTGACTTTTTTGTGGAAGGTTCACTTGTAGAATTAAAACTGATGCTCCGAGACTCTTGGCTTTTAAATCTTCCTCGAGATTAGGCCTTGACCTTGAGCCAGTGCTTTCTTCGGATTTGGGGCACTTCAAAGGTCAGAAATCATTCGATTAGCAAGTAGAATTTGTTTTCATTATTTTTTGTGTTATCTCCTTACAATGACTTTGTAATATACTTTTCATATTTATTTAAATGACATTTAAGTTGCATCATTATTAGCAATTAAATAAATATTTGGTATAGCTTCGGGAAAAGTATGTGCATATATTTATTATATATTTTAGAAAGTTGCCAGAACCCAATTAAAAATCATTTAAATTTATTGATTTTAGATAACCCATTTTGCCAAAATCGTGATAGCCAGAAGCGGTCCTTTTTTTTGTCGCCCTACTTCATCTAGGTATTACTTCTTTCACTCTATTTTACCATACCTTATACACTGTAAAAAATGTATCAGTGTACTTGTACATATGATTCAAAGCTTTATAGTAAAATATTCCCAAAAATCAGCTAAATATATCAAAATTGAATGACCTCCTTGAAGGACATGTTTATTTATTTTTAGTTTTTTTGTAAGAGCAAGAAAAGTTTAATGATTGAAGTGTTTTTTTACCTGAATTTTATTAATACTCTAAACTCTATCAATGCTCTATTAATACTCTTAGTTTTTGACTAAAAGTATAAGACCCTCTAAAGGGGCTTAAAAATGCGATGCCATTTCAAATACCAACTGCCCTAACGGCCCTTTAAAAAAAAACAAACAAAACTTTCCACGAACAGTGTTGTTAAGCTCCTTCCAGACATATGACCTCCTTCCAGAGCTGAAGCGCAGCCAACTTCACTTTTTTCAAAGAATGTTTACCACTGAAGCTGAAGAAGAAGAAAACGTTCGATTAAAAAGGAAAAAAAGCTTGAAAGGTATGTGCTGAGTATATGGAAACTCCTTGTATTCACCCAAGAACTCCACATAGAAGCCGTCAACTATGCTACTGACAAAGATCAATGGTAAAATAAAGCCAGAACCAAGCGAAGCGGGCAGGAAGACGCGCAAACGCGTTCGACAGAAGGCGGAAGAGTCTTGGATCGCAGAGTCGTGTGCCTTTCCAGACAACGTGTTCCAGGACACAATGCAATCCTGTAAAGAGAACCTGCCTGGCTTAAACGCCGATGAGCGCAGGGCGCTCAGCAAGCTGCTAAGGGTCTGGGACCAGAAACTGAACGCCACAAACCGCCGGCCGGATTCCCATAAAAGTACGCCCCCACCGCCCCGTAAACGGCGACGCATTGCCAAGCCTGTGGCTCCACCGAAGGCTGAGGATAACCCAGGTCCTCGCGTTGAAAATGTCTATAACGTGGAGGACGATGTGATTGTCCTAAACCGCATTGTCATGCCGCCGCATCCGCCGACTAATCAGCCCCGATACTTCGACGTTGTCATGCCGGCGTTCGTCCTCAAGCGCAGGATCCTCGATTCTTTCCTCAACCGTGATATCATTAAACGTCTCATAACCTCCAATGATCAGGAGGCCACTGCCGTTCTCCAGAAACTAGTGGACGACGTGCTCAAGCTTAAAAAGTGCTACGACCGACATGGTACACTGATCGAGTGGTAGAAGATTAAATTAAATATTGATTGTACATACATACATTCTAATTATACATACATATGTACATAAGGTGCAATTTTACATGCATACAGTATACATATGTATGTATGTATCGCTTATCATTGATTGGAATAATCGTTCAACCGATTATCTTTATTTAATATTAATATATCATTATATATCAATATTAAATTCATTCATATTTCATTTCAACTTTTACCATTTCTGTTTTTATTTTAGGATTGTTTTTTAAATTACGAAGTATCTAGCATAAATTATTTATTTAAATATTTTTAATAATAGATTTTTACAAGTTCCATGAAAAATGTTATTAAGCTCACCCTAGAAAAGCAGTGGGACGCCGCCCTACCAAAGAAAAAACAAGCCAAGCGCAGCCAACTTTAGTTCGAATAACAGAGGAGAGAGAATAAAAGGAGAAGGAGGAGGCGTAAAAGGAGGATTCTAAAATTAAAAAGGAGGTAATTAAAAAACTACGAACAAAAGCAACAAGAGGCCACTTGTTGGTATGTTGTGTAATTATTGGTGAAGCTTAAAATAAATCCTGATTGGGAATTGGAAAATTTTGAAAAACAAGATTATTGAAAAATATGTACATATATCTCTTATTAAGCCTGGCTGGTGGATCAGTGTCACCACACCACAAGAGGGAGCAAAACAACAAGCGCAGCCATTATTAGCTTTATTAGCTTTATTGTTATTAGCGACGAGGGTGTACAAGTTCTTCGAGAATATCATACCGAACCGGAGGATCTTCATTATAAGTAATTTTCTCAGCAGATATTAAAAAACTAATGAAATTAACGATCAAGTAGTACAAGGTAGTTGAAATCCTTTTAATATTAACTGCCCGCATTGGCATTTTTAAGTACTCGGCTAATATTTGGATATTTTATTATTGCGGTAAGGGAATACGGATATTCCAAGCCCGGAATCACATTTTCAAACTATTTCTCGCTATAAAACTACCATTTTCTTGCTATAAAATACGTCGAGTCTATGTCTAAGGCCCACTGGTGCTCTCCCAATCTATGTAACCCTTATATATCTGTCTTTTTTCTTTTGTGTATCTTTAATTCTTTCAATATAAGAACTTTGTAGACCTATCTTTCCTCAACGATTATACATTATACAGATGGGATAAAAGGTTCATCCTACATGGGGAATGGATGAAAGCCAAAAATATTTCATCAGAAATTTAGTTTATATTCCTGACTTGGAGGTAATGTGCTTGGTTGGCCCTTCGATTCGTTTTCCCGTTGGCACTTCGCTTAAGATCCTCTACAATCAGCGCTCCTGCATTGAGCTGCTTGTACTTGGAGTCCGTACGAGTCTGGACATAGTCCAACACATCCTGGGCACTGAGATCGCATCCGTGTCGCTTCACCACACATGCGGCAGCCTTATCCCCATGATCATAGCTCCACACCCCAAAGACGCACACCTCCGCTACTGTTGGCATTTCGGATATTATGTTTTCAATATCACTCGGATAGTACATGATGCCCTGGAACCGGAGCATATCCTTTTTGCGCTCGGTAATGTACAGGAAGCCGTCGCGATCCACGTAGCCCAGATCACCGGAGTGGAACCACCCCCTGGGATCACGAATACCGCGGGTTTCCTTTTCATTTCCGTAATATCCTAGCCAGTGCTGGCCATTGCTGATGCACACCTCTCCCGTCTGGTCGGGACCCAACGCCTCGCCCTGGTCGTTGATTACCTTCATCCTCAGGCCGTTCACCAAGCGACCCACCGAGTTGGGCTTCTGATCAAGGTGCATGTTGATTGTAGCATTGACACCCAGCTCGGAGAAGCCGTACATGAACCATAAACAGTTCCGGCCCAGGCGACTTCTTATACGCTTCTGTACATCCACAGATGCCCGCGTTCCTGGACAAGTCGGATGTCTCGAACTCCGGAGTATTGACCATCCTGGTCATAACGGACGGTGGCTGTACGATCCAAGTCACTTTGTAATCCTTAATAATTTTCATGGCATATACCGGATCAAAGTCATTGTCCGCAATAATACGAGTGGTGCTGTATACACCCGAGGTGACATAGGTTCGCAGGCCAGTAATCCAGTCAAGGGCGTTGTGGGTGTATTGGATGTCGGAGATGGTCAGATGGCTGGTGGGAAAAACATACAAAATGTTTAAATGCTAAACTGAGAGTGGTTAGTACATCAACTTGCTGGTTACAGGCCAAGATCTGGCGGCTATTGGAGATCGTGACTGCCTTGGGAGTGCCAGTGGTGCCCGAGGAGCACAGAATGGCCAAAGTCTGATCGTTTCCCTGTTCCAGTTTGGCGGGCTTAAAGTTCTCCTCGATGGGCGTCGCCAAGATCTCATCGATCCTGATAGAGTCCGATGGGTGATGGCGCATGGTAATGATTTCCACCTTCAATGTGGTGGTGGCTGTTCGCACTTTGTCGATCTCATCTCCATCGCAGAATATCAGCTTCGGCTTGGTGATGGAAAATAGCGTTTCGATGGTGTTCCGGTCATAGGCAACGTTCATGGAATGGAAGGCAATTCCGTTGAAGAAGCAGGCATAGGCCACGGCGGATAGATGGGTGGTGTTCCTGGCCACAATGCCAACTAAATCGGTTTGGAGGAGGCCCTTTGCCCTTATGTAGCTTGCCACATGCATGGCGTTCTCAAGCAGCTCTTTCCTGGTCAATGTCGTGTTCTCCGTTGCCGATATCTGAAGACATCCTTTATAATTTTGTTTCTTTTTCCAGAATTATTTCATCAGACCTGAGCAATCAGCGTGGGATGGCGCTGCATCTCCTTGAATATTATTTCCCCAATTGACAGGTTTGGATCAAAATAGTACCTCACTGGGTCACTGCTCCAGATCTTCTCATCGGAATTGTAGTAGTTTGCTGGAGAGTAGGACATCTTTTTGTGGAAGAGTTGTGGTTTCAACTGTTGGCCGTTCGCTACCCACATCTTCCTTTTATGCGACTCGTGGAGCTCAAACAGCAGCCAGATTCAGATATATTATAATTTAAGCATGCCAACAAGTTCTTTTCATTTAGGAAATAGGAAAACTTGTTCTTAATTAACACTATTGAGGGTGCTGGCGCATGGGGATTGGGGGGACTTGAAGCTATATATCGAGATATTTAAAAAAAATTAATGCTGTTGCATGGCGACATTTTCAAACATTGATTTCAGCGAAATTATCAAATTATTTTTCTTCCAGACTTCTGCTATTTTGTAGTTTAATGGAAAACTTTAGCCCCATGCCTTAATGAATGTTATTTAAAAATAAAAATTTCAAAATATATTCCGATACGACGAGATTCTACAAACTTACCGCTTTTGTCTCGAAAACACTATTTTTTAATTCGTGCCAACAATATCACAAGCTCTATACATCGGGTTTCCTTGAATTAAATAAAAGGCCGATGGACATACTTGTTTGTATGCCAGGAATACAAAATTTTTACAAAAAGTAGTATATTTTTTAAGCGAGCTGATAGTGAAACATAAAAAATAGTGAAAAAATTTCAATAAAATTGATGCTATCTTTTTCAAATTTATGGAATTTAGGTTCGAGGCATAAACAATTTTATTGATTTCGATAGACTGATTACATTTTTGACTTGAGTTAAATAAAATAAAAATAGAATTGCCTAGTTAGGACGAACTTTCTCCCAAAGAGGTCGACTAGATCCCATATTTTGAACAACAATATATTTTTTAAATTTGTTAATAAAATACATATAACTGAAATATCTTTACCTTTATCCCCATTTGATTTCACTTTCACCCAATAAATTTTTAAATATGGGTAAATTTTTTCCCGAAATGGGTCCCCAAATTAATAAAAATATCCCAAAATAAGGGATAAGGGGAGAAGGTCCCCAAAATAATAAAAATATTGTTAGTCCAAACGGGAGAGTAGGTGGATTAGAGAACTTGAGAACTACTTTCCCCCTCGGTCGTGCCTCCCCAATAAGCTTCATCTTCTTTTTTAACAAAAAAACATTTTATTTTTAACAAAAATGTGTTTAACAAAAACAATAACAAAAAAAATTGGTGCTAAAAATTGGCTACGTAACATTAAGTTCGGATGAACCCATCGGCCTAGATGGCCTTCGGTGCCCCAACTCGATGCGAGTTCGGACCTCCGCCCGGGGTCCGTTCACGGGCATCTCTTCACTAGTACAGGTATCCTCCGTTGGCGGCGTAGGTGGTGCCGACCTCCACAGGAGCGGGAGCGGGAACGGAAACGGAAGGAGTGTACTGTACGATAGGCTGGGGCGCTGGTTGGGCTTGGATTTCAATAGGAGCCGGCGGGGCGGGCACAAAGGACTGCTGCAGTTGGATTGGAGCAGGAGCAGGGATCACAACTGGAGCTGGAGCAGGAGCAGAGATCACAACTGGAGCTGGAGCAGGCGCAGGGATCACAACTGGAGCTGGAGCAGGAGCAGGGATCGCAACTGGAGCTGGAGCAGAAGCAGGGATCACAACTGGAGCAGGAGCAGGAGCAGGGATCACAACTGGAGCAGGAGCAGGAGCGGGGATCACAACTGGAGCTGGAGCAGGCGCAGGGATCACAACTGGAGCTGGAGCAGGAGCAGGGATCGCAACTGGAGCTGGAGCAGAAGCAGGGATCACAACTGGAGCAGGAGCAGGAGCAGGGATCACAACTGGAGCAGGAGCGGGAGCAGGGATCACAACTGGAGCGGGCTGAGGAGCTTGGTAGGAGTAACCACTGTACTGCTGTTGTGGGATGATCTGCTGAACAGGCTCAGGAGCGGTGTAAGTTTGCTGGACGACTGGAGCTGGAGCTGGTGCAGAGTATTGCTGAACCACTGGAGCTGGTGCGGAGTACTGCTGAACCACTGGAGCTGGAGCGGCCTGCTGGATCACTGGAGCTTGTTGGATGACTGGAGCCTGCTGAACGACCTCCTGAATAGGAGCCTGCTGGATCACCTCCTGGACCACAGGAGCTTGCTGGATGACTGGAGACTGTTGGACCACCTCCTGGACGACAGGAGCTTGCTGGATGACTGGAGCCTGCTGCACCACAGGGGCTGGGTAGGAGTATGTCTGCTGAGCCACTGGAGCTGGAGCTGGGGCAGTGTAGACTGGTTCCTGGACCTGAACAGGAGCGGGAGCAGTGTAGACTGGTTCCTGGATCTGGACTGGAGCAGGGGCAGGAGCAGAGTATGATTGCTGGACTACTGGAGCAGGAGCTGGTGCAGAGTACTCTTGAACTACTGGAGCTGGAGCAGAGTAGGTCTGCTGGACAGGAGCTGGAGCAGAGTAGGTCTGCTGGACAGGAGCTGGAGCGGAGTAGGTCTGCTGGACAGGAGCTGGAGCAGAGTAGGTCTGCTGGACAGGAGCTGGAGCGGAGTAGGTCTGCTGGACAGGAGCAGGAGCGGAGTAGGTCTGCTGGACAGGAGCTGGAGCGGAGTAGGTCTGCTGGATCACCTGGTGCTGCTCATGGACAACGGGCACGGGCACTGGGACTGGAGCTGGTGCAGGCACTGCCACTGGAGCCGGAGCCGGGGCCGAGTAGGCAATGGTCTCCTGAGGAGCTGGCTGCTGGACAATGGTCTCTACCACGGGCTCGGGTGCTGGAACGAACTGCTGGACGGGCGCAGGTGGCAGGTAGGCGTTCTGCACCGCCGTCTGGGTGGCCACAATTGGCTTGGGAGCCTCATAGATCACCTGGGGAGCTGGCTGGGCAATCTCCACGGGAGCAGGAACTGGAGCTGGGATCACAACTGGCGCTGGAGCTGGAGCATTAATCACAACGGGAGCAGGAGCAGGGATGGAGATCGGAGCTGGAGCCGGAGCTGGAGCTGGAGCATTAATCACAACAGGAGCTGGAGCCGGAGCTGGGATCGAAATGGGGGCTGGAGCTGGAGCACTTGGGTACTGTCCTCCCGACTGGATGGTGAAGCTGGCCAGAGGAATGGAGGCCTGAATAGACTCCACCTGGGGATGGATCTGCTGGTGCACTTGCTGCACCACCTGCTGCACCTGGCTCTGGATCTGGGGCTGGACCACCTGCTGGAAGGTGGGCGCCACCGACACCGCCTCCTTGACCGGCAAGGGCGGAAGGTACTGATGGGCCGGACGACCTTGGGCAAAGGTCAGGCAGAGGGCAGCCAGAACAACAAAGGCGAAGGGTTTCTGCTCGAAGGAAACGGAAAAAAAATGTATATCCATCAATCACAGGTTCAATCACATGTTGTCACTCAAAAAAAAAGGAGGAAAAGGCCAGAAAGTGACCGTCTGTGGTCACTTACCATCTTCACTAAGGTCACAAGCGAGTCTGGGAGTGGATGAAGTGCACCTAGCGAACGTAACCGATTAACTGATGATGAACTCGGAGACCCAGTCTGCATTTATAGTTGGCGGCTCTTGCCCGAAATTGGTGCGGATTGGTGGATGGCATCTGGCGGAGATCACGGTGGGAGAAGGGCCAGGGGCTACGGGCTAGGGGCGAGGGAATGCTAATGCAGAGGGCCAACAATGAAATCATGCAAAACACATCTCATTTCGGTGCGGATTATCAAATGGCCAGCTGCTGAAAGCCAAAAGACACGACTCTCCAACAAAAATCGGAGACAAAACAAACAAAACACAAATTTCCCGCAACATCTGCTGTGTTTTACACATCAATTTTTAATATGAATTTTAAATTTTCCTTTTTTTTAATTAGCATTTTTTTTAATCGCACAGCTCATCGGCTCATTTGTGGGTATGTATGCATTTGTTTATGGCATTTGGATTAAATAATATTCTGAAATAAAATACATTTTTTATTCTGCGCTTCAAATGTTGTTTTATTAAAATAAAATCTATGTATTATATTTTTAATAAATTATCAACTAAATGAATATTGTTAAATGACGATAATATTCAATCAAAGTAAGTGGAGCTTTAAATTTAAAATTTTACTAAAATTATTGTACTATATTTCTTTATTAAACTAATAAATAATTAAATAAAACCAAAAAAAAAAAAATTTTCGTATAATTTCTACTTTTAATTCAAAACATTTAAACTATTTCTTTAAACTGTTTTTTTTAAATAACTCATTTGATAAATTTAGTTATTTTTTTAACTTTGAAACGTATTTTTCAAATTTGAAAAACAATTATATTTTGTAATACTGTAAGAGAAAAACAAGTATTTGTGTTAGGGAATCAGACCTCTCTAAACCACAATTTGCCCAAAAGAAGGTTTATTTCAAACTACATATCGTCGCGTTTCCGCGAAAATATCGTATATCACGTCTTATCGAAATTGAGATTAATTATATATGTATTTAATATGTTACTATATTATTATTATTATTAAAATATTTTTGTCCCAAAGCAACGAAATATTTTACCTTAAAGCGCTATAGTTTCAGAAAAATTCAAGATCTGATTATATTGTTGCCTTTACGGATCTAAAGAACTTTTGTCAAATAAAGGTTTAACGCTAAATTCCACTCGAAATGTACATTAGACTGCGCTTGTAATCGATAACAGTATAATTTAGGTGGACTTCTAGTTGCGTTAAGGTAAACTAATTAACTTATTTTCAACAATTTTATAGCTTTTATCTCTACCATTAATATACTATTAATAGTATTATATAATATTTTTCTCCAAGTGTGTCATGACAACCTTAAAACAAATTCCATTGGGTGTGCAAAAAGTGTGTAAATATTTGTCAAAGCTGGTTGCATGAATTGTGTCCATTTGGCCAATTGACACCTTGGCCGAAAGTGCAATGACTTGTGCTCCCATTTGAGACACAACTATGAAATATCACTACAAATTCTCAAAAGTTTAAAAATACAAAATATGTTTAACTTTCCCCCACACCTGTGGCGTCGACTGCCGTTTAAGATGAAACTTATGGCCAAGATGGTTATCGGAGCGATTTCCCAACGGCCAAGGCAGTGGCAGACATGTGTCCAACCTTCAGACACTTTCAATGGGCCATATTTTATGGTCAATCAAGGGCCACCGATTGTTTGGCTTTACTTGGACTCCGGCTCGTCTCAATATGGTTATTAATTTCCCAATTTATGCATGCATTTTGTAGGCGTGTGTCGAAGATTATGATAAGCACTATTATAGGCTTATAACCGATACAGACTCGGATAATGCGCGGATTTTGCAGAGGCCACAGCCAGAGCCAGAGCACAACAAAGTCAATAGATACCACGCGCCTCTAAACAATGCCCCAAAAACTAAACCCAGAAAATAGTGACAAATTGAAAACAAGGTTCGCACAAAAGAAAATGTCAAGTTGAGGGCCTCCGACAACCGGCGGGCACTGTGTTGGCTTAATTATGACTAATTATTCTGCGAACAGCCCCAATCCATCCGGACATCTGTCTGTTGGTCACTTGGCCATTTTGGCCACCTTTCGTCTTTTTCTGGCACCTCTGCATGAATATTCAAGCTTTGGCCACAAAATGTAAAGTTGCAACAAAACCATAAATTCAATTAGATGTGCCTAGGCACTGCGAAAAATTTATATTTAATTATTTGCGGGGGTTTTGGAATTGTGAATGTTATCAATATATTGTTGAGACAAGAAAGCGGCTATCGACTAAAAACCTTTGTCAACTTTGGTAACTTTGTCAAAAAAAAAAAGAAATCTTGAAATATTCTGAAGAAGTAACTTAATTGCATTTTAAAAAAAAACTTAATAAATTTACTTTTTTACTTGGTGGGAATTTTTTTATTAAAAAAATATAACAACTCAAAAAACCTCTTTTTTCTTTTTCTTATTCATAAGATCTTATATCTTGAAACCCAAATAAAATTCTGAAAAAGCCAAAGAATTCTCAAAACATTAAAAAACATAATTAAAACTATTTTAGCCCAATAATTTTGTTTTTTTTTTTATATGAAAAGCAATATTTTCGTTAAAAATAATCTTAAATAAAAGGTTTTATTCCATTACCTTTAATTGATGAGTTTCTTTATTTCATTTTTTAAAGCTTTTCCCATATAATTCAGAAATAAAAGTAGATAGAGTGATAAAAATCATATTTTGAACCACAATATTGCCGACAAAATCTTGAATTTTGACCAAATATTTTTTTTGCAGTGTCGTGGAAACTGATAGCCCGAAATGATTTGCATAAAGCCAAAAAAGTAGCAAAAGGTTAAAAGCTGAAAAACGATCTGTGAAAGACTTAAGCCCCCAAAAAGACCCAAAAGACTGGCAGAAAGTGAAGAATCGCATCTGGAAGTGAGTGGGTGACCCTCTGGGGGTCTCTGGGAATTTATGTAACTCCCAAGATTATGCATCTTGCCAAAAGAAAAACTTGAAAACAATCAAATAGCTAACAAGATCTCCCCAAGATCTTCCCTTTTGCAGATGCTTGAAAACCCATAAAAAACATGTCATAAAAGCTTTTAAATGTGTTTACCGAAAGCAAACAATAAATAATTCAGTGGAGACATAAAAACTAAAAGATGAATAGAAATCAATTCGGACAAGTTGTGGGACTCAACTAGTCATACATATGTACATACATATATCTATAAAGTTTTTTTTTGTTACAATTTCGATTGTCTATTTGGAAATGAAATGCCCATACATGATTTTTGAATAGATCTGGATATAATCTATGGAAAAATACCCCATGCTTATCCCTAAAAAGAAGAGATATAATAGTTAATATTACCATAAATGTTCTTTTTTTTTTTAAGAAACACCTTTGACGTCATACATTTTTTTTTTTTGCATAAAAAAATAGTAAGGCTAGACATGGTTATGGTTTTTTTGTTGGTTTATTTGCATAGGTCTTTTTGGGTTTCGTCAAGCAACTTTTATGTTTTCTTACCTGGTATATTCTATAAATATTATATTTGCAGAGGTATTCTTTTCATTGAAAAACCTTGCAAGATTGGAAAGCCCTTTAATATTGTTGGATAAAAAGTATCAGATTAGTTCAATAGTTCCGATAAAAAAATATAGTCTTTATAATTTCAAAATGCTGAAATTCTTAAAAAAAAGGTTTTTAATGAAATAAATCTAGGGTTTCTAAATTAAAGGTATAGGAAATATTTTATCGGTAAAGTCTTTTAGTTGTATTGAACTATTTTTATACCCTTGCAGAGGGTATTATAATTTTCTCCAAAAGTGAGCAACGCAGTGAAGGAGACATCTTCGACCATATAAAGAATATATATTCTTGATCAGGATCACCTCCTGAGTTGATATGAGCATGTCCGTCTGTCCGTCTGTCTGTTTCTACGCAAACTAGTCTCTCAGTTTTCAAGCTATCGACTTGAAACTTTGCACACACCCTTCTTTCCTTTGCACGCAGTATATAAGTCGGAACGGCCGGGATCGGCCGACTATATCCTATAGCTGCCATATAACTGATTGATTGGAAATGGTATAACTTTTGTGTATTCAGAGTTAGGGAGTTAAAATTTTACACGAGAGCTATTTTTGGCAAAATAATACAACGTGTCGAATTTCATAAGGATCGGCCGACTATATCCTATAGCTGCCATATAACTGAACGATTGGAAATGGTTTTTGGTAGAAATACCAACTTCGGTATTTTTGGAGATAGAAGTTTGGGTTTTTTTTAGATTTTTTATTATAATAATAAATATGATAATATATAATATTATCATATTCTCATCAGGATCGGCCAACAATATCCGATGTTTGCGATATAAATATATCCGGTTTTAACTGCAAGGGTATATCAACTTCGGCTCCGCCCGAAGATAGCTTTTCCTTCTTGTTGTTATAAACATCATTTCTTTAAGTCGATTATTTCGATATAATATTTACAAAAAACCAAGATACAACTTCCTTTTAAAGATAAAGTATTTCAAAGATAACTCCACAAAGAACTATGATTTTAAATGTTTAATAAATAATATGTTGAATAAATATAAAAAAAAAAGTTTTTTTTTGTAGATTATAGTCCTTTGCCAGAACGACAAGTCTTCAGTATGAAATTAGGTTTTTTGATAAACCAAAATCTTTTCAAACTAAAAGTTGAATAACCCTTTAAGTCTAAATCTCTTATTTATGCTTTTCTGAAATTACAAACCCAAATGCTGGGCCGAAAAAGTCGATCAGCGTGTTTGGCCAAGATATTAATCGCCTTGCTCTGACTTTTTGCAGACAATTTGATAATTTATGAAGCCGACTGTCCGGCCGTAAGCCAACGTGAATGATATATGCATAAAACATACATTTATACAAGTCCGGCCGTATATGTGTATCAATCCGGGCGATAGACTGTCATCATTTACGATGACGGTTTGATTAGCATAAAGACAAGCACTTTGTCTGTCTGTCTGCGACTTTATGGCCCAAAACCACGAACCAAAACGCTAAAAAAAACAACTAAAGCCAAAAACTAGCGAATAAATAACAAATTAAAACACAAACACAAAAAAAAAACGGAAAGATACGAAAAGAAAAGAAATGATTGATAATTTATAGTGAACATGTCGTCGACGCATCGCATCATTTGGCTTTTTGGTAGACATAGCCACCATTGGTGGCATAGATGGTATCTGCTCCGGACTTGGGATCGTCGGCCGCCACACTAGACTCCACGGGCTTGGGGGCTTCCTCGTCCTTTTGCGGCTCGTCGGAGTAACCGGGCGGGGCTGATCCGCCAAAGCCGGGTGGGAACTGTTGTCCGGGACCGATAGGTCCTCCAAATCCTGCAGGGACATTGAAACCAGGTTGGAAGCTTCCGGGGGCATTGGTCACAGGCAGGCCTTGATTGTAAAGGAATTCTGGTGGTGGAAAGGCGGTTCCTTGTCCGGGGAAGGGTGCTCCTTGCCCCGGGAACGGTGCTCCTTGTCCGGGGAAAGGTACTCCCTGTCCGGGGAAGGGTACTCCTTGAGGAAACGCAGCTCCTTGTCCTGGAAAAACGGCTCCCTGTCCTGGGAAAGCCGCTCCTTGTGCTGGGAAAGGCACTCCCTGTCCAGGAAAAGCTCCTCCCTGTCCTGCGAAAGGAACTCCTTGGGGAGGAAAGCCTGCTCCTTGAGGAGGAAAGCCTGCTCCTTGACCAGGATAAGCGCCTACTGGTCCGGGAAAAGCTCCTCCCTGACCGGGAAAACCAGCTCCCTCGGGGGCTCCGAATGAACCAATTCCTGGCTGCTGAATGGCGGCATTTGTGGGCAAACCACCGGCGACTCCATTGGGATAGGCAGAAGGGACCGCGCCAGGACCTGGTACTAATCCCGGACCTGGTTCGCCACCGCCAAAGCCAAAGAATGGCGGATAGATCGGCAGCGGGAAGTTGGGCGGTTGGGCCGCAGAAGGCGGAAGATTGACACCCGTTGGAATGGCATAGCCCGGTGGCAATGGTAGTCCAGTCGAGGGATAAAATCCAGAAGATGGGTCCTGCTGCTCCTTTGGCGGCTCTCCGCCCTCACCCTCGCCCTGAGCAAGGTGCCTCACGTCGCCGTGGGTGGCCAGGGGACAGGCGATCAAGACTAGAACGATCCACAACTGCATCTGGAAAGAGTATGCGGCCAGGGGCCTTGGGTCCGGCGCTTATAAGACACCCGTATTACATAAAGCACGGCCGGATCATTTCGCATTTCATTTCACTTTCCCATTTGGCGAACAAACGGAAATTGCTTTGCATCATCATCATCATCTCGATCGTGGCGATCAACAGCACAAAGCACGGTTCCATAAATAGACATGAATCCAAGCCACAGATCCAAAACTGAACTATAAAAATTAATTAAGCGCTCAATTTTACATAAATCGAATGCCCACCAGTTTTGCATAAAGCTGCGATAAAAGAAATTGAGAGAAATGACCAAAGAAATTGTTTATTTTGAGCTTTTGGTGCCGGTAAAAAATAAAATATAATACATACTTTTTGCAAACCTCATCTTAAACTTGCAAGCTTGCATTTTTGCATAAAAGTGTTGGCTAGTGGATTTTAATACTAAAGCTTAACAATAAACTAATGAAAAAATTATTTAATATATGAGAAACCATAACAAATCGATTTTAAAACTCGCTAGCTTTCATTATAGAGTTCAAGTCTTTGTAAATTAATGAAAACACAAAAGCTGTTTTAAAAGAAGAAGCTGAAAAATATTTATTTAAATAAAATATCAAGCTTAAAATAATTTGGCAGTTTAATCAAAAATGTAGATATGTAACAAACTCCTTAAAAATATTCAACATAGAATACTACTACTTACCAGTGTTGAAAAATCAATAAAAAAGCAAAAGCTTTAAGGAGCAAAGCCACAGCAAAACATAAGCTTTTATGCAAATACAAGTTTTATAAAAAGGTTTTAAAATCAACCACTAAACTCTTGAGAGCTTGAAAGCTTAAGAAAAGCTTTATTCCGTTTAAAATTAGTCAAAGGTTTAAGTTATAGCTTTTTTGTTTTAAATAAAATTAAACTATTTGGAAAAAAACAATCTGTCAAGATGCTTTATTTAATATTTATTTTATTGTCTTTTTAAGAATAAGTCTTTGAAACTTATTTTTCTCGACAGTTTCATTGTTAATGCAGCTCTAGAACATATTTCATTGTTTTTTGTTTAGTTTCTGAGAACAAAAGAATATAAATTCTGAATTTGGAAAATATATTCATAGTTTGAAACAGGAATTCATGAATTATATGCAGATTCTTTGCACACTTTTGGATTAGTAATACGTCAGATAAGTTTACATGCTTCAAACCCACAACCAGTTTCGCTTTCAAATGATTTTGTTTTTTAATTTGATTCCATTAAGCCATTAAGACGATCATTATCAGGAAATTATTTAAATATTTTGTAGGCTTTGTTATTTTGTTTAAATTTTTATTACATGCGTAAGGGCTTATGGGTGATACGATTAGTTTCAGAAGCAATAAATAATGTTTAATAGTCAGTAGGCAATTTTTTATAGATTTTAGTATGTTGTTTTTTAGTATACTTTGAACCTTCGAATACTTTATGTACTGATTACTTATGAATTTGGTAATATATTTAATTTGTGTAAAGGTTAGTTATATATTTTAATTTAAATGTTTGGTTATAATTTAAAACTCCCAATTTGGTATTATTTTATTGATTATTTCCATAAGTTGCAATAACTTAAATAGACTAGTTTGGGTATAGTTTTTGGGTATAATTTCTTGTATTTCTTATAGACCGCATATTCAACGGATTTCTGAATATATCTATGATCTTATATAATCTATCTTAGTAAGAGTTATAAGGATAGTATTTTCCTGATCTGATATAAGGAATATCCCTTTGTTCTGCAACCTGCCTGTTCTGTTACTGCTTTCTAGTCTTATAAAGGAACTATTCCATCAGTTCCAAATATAATTTACTTACTATACATACATATGTAGGTGTTATTTTCATTTTTAAAATCAAGTCGAAAAAGGATTTTGATATGATATGACAAGAATTATTATATTATTTAGTTTTTAAAAACTATTTGAAATTAACTTTGTGTTTTTCAAATGTCGTTTTTTTCTTTCCAGTTCCAAGAGTTTATAAGAGCTTTACACTATATATATTGTATAGATGGTCATTTTGGTAATCCCCCCTTTTTAAAAACTTGTTATTTTCGTTGTTAAATTATGGTTTTATTGAATTTCGTTGACAACATTTTACAAAAGATGTTTTTTTAAAAAAAAAGTGAATTTGTGGCAGTATTTATTTACACTGGATCAGTATTTGGGTGCAGGCCTCTTACTTCCTGTAGACGTAGCCGCCGTTGGAGGCGTACTGGGTTCCCACATCGACGGCGGGAGCCGAGTAGCTGACGGAGGGAGCCGAGTAGCTGACGGAAGGAGCGGAGTAGCTCTGCTGGACAGCGGGGGCGGAGTAGCTCACCGAGGGAGCGGAGTAGGTCTGCTGGACAGCCGGGGCGGAGTAGCTGACGGAGGGAGCAGAGTAGCTGACGGAAGGAGCAGAGTAGCTCACGGAAGGAGCAGAGTAGCTGACGGAGGGAGCAGAGTAGCTCACGGCGGGAGCAGCTGGAGCAGAGTAGCTAACCGAGGGAGCGGAGTAGGTCTTCTGGACGACGGGAGCGGAGTAGGTCTGCTGGACGGGGGGAAGGTACTCGTTGCTGGGGGCGGAGTAGCTGACCGAGGGGGCAGAGTAGCTCACGGAAGGAGCAGCCGGGGCGGAGTAGCTCACCGAGGGAGCAGAGTAGGTCTGCTGGACAGCCGGGGCCGAGTAGGTCTGCTGGATGGCCGGGGCCGAGTAGGTGTTCTGGACGGGGGGCAGGTACTCGTTGCTAGGGGGCAGGTACTTGCTCAGGTGGCTGACATCGGCGGCCGCGCAGGCGAACAGGGCGAACACAATCAGGAATTTCTGCAATTAAGGACAACACTTCACATTAGCACACTGTTTGCAAGATCACTTGAATATTTTCAAAAAAAATTCTAAAAAAAAGAAAAGGTTTTCAAAACCTAATATAGATTTTTTAAAATATTTTTCAAAGTGCGTCTTTGATCCTTCACTGACCATTTTGGTTATTGTTTGTGGTTTTGAGCGACTGGGCTGGATGAGCTTGAGGCTGCGACTGATGCCGGTCCCTAGAGCGGGCTTTCAATTTATAGCCCCGCCAGCCGGCTTTAAAGAAAAGCCCCCCGGCTTTGGCTCAAAAAGCGGTTTCAAACTGCAGCAGTTGAAAAATGGAAAAAAAAACAAACGAAAAAAATCATTAATAAATAAATAAAGCAGAAGAAGCGGCCGGTGTGGTCGCAATAAATTCAACAACGCCTTGTGGCTGGCTGGTGGTGACAAAATGTTTTAAGAGCTAAATTTTCCATAAAAAAACTAGAGATGTCTTTAGGAGACTAAAAATGTAAATCAAATATTTTTGATTGTAAAAATAAAATTAAAATGTATATAAAAAATTATATGTTACATTTATGTTATTTTTTCCATGTTTTAAGCTTAAACTACCTTTTTTAAGCGTAGCATTTAAAAAATTAAGCTTCAATATAACTTCAATATAACTCTAAAGTCTTGAAACTAAATAAGTCAGGTTTTCGATAAACTTAATAAAATATTTAAAAACTGAAAAATAAAGTTTAATATTAAAAAAAACATTAGAAGTAACTACAAAATAAGTTACTACATTTTATAGGCGTTTTAACATTTAAAAAATTTTAAAAATTTATATATCTTACTGGTTTTCTACTAAAGAAAGGTTGGAAGGCTTACAAATTTAAAAAAGCAAATATTTTGCAAACTAGAAGAACGTTTCGGAAGAAAAAACTAACTAGTTTTCTATTAAAATAAATTTCAAATTTTTAAATTTTAGATGTAAATTTTGCAAAGCTTACAATTTGATATAAAAATTGAATGAAAAACAATTTTATTTTTAAAAGTAATGAAAACGTATTTTTATTAGTTTTCTGTTAAAAATGTATTTCTTAAATTTTTTAAAAAAGTTATCTTCTAAAAGACAAAATTTAAAAAGAAGTCAAGAATACCCTGCCAACCTTAATAATACAATTTCTACTTTACAATATTTTTATTAGGCTTCCATTTAAATTTAAAAACTACAAAGTAGCACCACAAAAGGCCAAAACCACATTTCTGCCTAATTAAAAACCAAACTCTTAATTCCCGCCTAATTAAGCTTGTGCAAATTATTTTATTACATTTTCACGACCGAAATCGTTAAACATGTATGATATTCCTCTCATTTTGGCAAAAAAATCTCCAAAATAGCAACACTAGTACACTTAAGGCGGGAGTTACAACAAAAATAGTGTATACAGCAAACGGAAAATCACATCAAAATTAAATTCAACATAAACCGAATGAAATCGCAAAGTCAAACGGGTTTCTTGTCTCATTTACAAAAATTATATATACGCATACAAAAGTATATATTTTTTTTAGACCCAAAACTCAACGGGTTTTCTGCGGATGGTCGGGTGAACTACTTTGGGACACCTTTTTTTTGGGGGGTTTTGTTTGCGGGGGTCTTCAATCAGGCTTATTTAGTGAAGAGGGTTTCCAGCTAATTAACATTCAATTTAACACATTATAATAGGAGGCTCAGTTTTTGTTTCATTTGTCTTGCGGCTGTCGTGGCGCTTAACCGCAGTCCATGGGCCAAAAGATACACCGAGGCCGTGTCGGAGAAGTCAGATTGATGGGCTCCGGTTGCCCCGAGAATGTCTTGGGTTCACTTTCTAAAAAGCCATAAAGCCATCGGCTGAGAAGAAGACTCGCCTGGCCGGGAACTGGCCTTGAGAACCGATCCGAAACGCCTAGAGAGTTACGACTCCCAGAGCGGGCTTTACATAATAAGTAACAGCTAAATGGTCCGGACTCTGGATCCGGTCGCTCAGATCAACTTTTACTGCCACATGCTGCTGTTTCTGCTGTGGCTTTTGTCGCATCACTTGTCCGTGAACTTGAAATGCAATCCAGCCTGAAAGGTTTGTGCACTGAGAGAAGCGCAAAGTATCAGGTTGGGATTTCAACCAACAAAAATTATGGCTCTTAATATCAGAGCTTTGGAATCTTGCTTTTGATATGAAAGATGTCTTTAGAAACTCTTATATTAGAAAGAGTATTGATATCAGGTACTTGTTAAGATTTAAATGTTTATAAATATTCAGTTTATTATAAGGTTATGAAAGAAAACGTATGAAACTTAATATAGAAATCTAATATTAAAGAAACTAAATAGTACAATATAAGATAATAAGGAAAGGAAACTTACCTTAAAAATTTTTTTTTTAATCTCTTATAACTTCATAAAAGTAATCATACCCGGTATACATTAAACATTTTATTAAATTTCTATATTCTTATGAACATTTATTTTTAAGAAGTTTATTTCTTTAGAAAACCGGAAATCTAACATCTAATAGTAAATCTCTTAACTAAGGAACTAATTATGTATTAGGTATTAAAATATATATAAATATTAGGTATTAAAATTATCTTTTTGGAAAGAGTTTCTATTTGAATCTCTTAAAAAAGTACTTATACCTGGTATGTGTTGCTTATTTTTTTATGATGTTGTTTTTGTTAGAAGTTGGTTGAGGAAAACAGAAATTGGGTTGCTACATAAATATTAAATCTATTAATAAAGAAACTCTGTATTAAGGTACACGATTGCTTTCCTTTTGAAATTCCTTTAAATTTCTTGTAAATTCTTATTAAAGTACTCATACTCGGTACTCATTGAGTCTAATATTAAAAAAACTACTCTTTTCATAAGATGTTGATTTTCAAAAAGTGTTTTAAAAACTCAAAACTTAAAAATACAATTATTTTGAAACAAAACCCATAATTGCTAATTTAACCTACTTTTTCTAGCAGTGTAGTGTGGGAAGATGTTCCACAAGCCAACAACAAGTTGATGCAACCTGTGGCACTTTCAGGGCTGAGGTTGCAACACTTAAAGTTCAACATTAAGTATTCTGAGAACTGAAATCGGGAAACTTTTTTTGAATCATTATGAAGAGAAAGGTTTTTCTTTAAGGGGTTATATACAGTTGTGATATATGAAAAAATCGGTTTTTTTTTATTGCATATTCTTTAAGTATATTTTATTGGGAATACTCTCACAAAAATTCATAACGATCGGAGCATTAGAACCGAAGCTGTAGCTATTTATAGCGCACTATCTGCATATAAATCTTGAACAAACTTGAAACTTTAAACGCGATTATCTCAGAATCTTCTTTTTGGGAAATTACCTTTGCGGTGGACACGATTACTAAAAAACTACTAATCCGATCAACACCAAATTTTGACCACTTATTTATTATGATATTAGCTAGTCCGTGAACGAGGGATTTTCAATTTTTTGAAAACTCCTTTTTAAAGCACAAAAAACGAAAATCTTATACGTTGAAAAAGTACATTTTTTGTTAAAAACGTCGCCATTTTTTTTTAAATCAAAATTTTTAAAAATCCCTCGTTCACGGACTAAACAATACAATATACTAACTAAACTTTTTTGAATTTTGGATTTTGGATGAACCGTTTTCGAGAAATCTTGTCCACCGCAAGACACCATCGAAAAAAGACGATCCGGGAATTCGGCTATAGCATTTTTGTTATGTAATATTTTTTTATGAAAAAATTTAATTAAGTACCCAGAAACATGTACTAAACAACGTCGGTAAAACATTTTTCATAAATATTTTCTATGGTGTCAAAAAAAAATCGATAAAAATCCATATTTTTGCGCGGTACAACTGTATATAACCCCTTAAAGACCAACATAAATTAAGAAAACACTAAAAATTAAAAAAAAAGGGGTATTAATATTTATTAGACTCTTCGGCTGGGACAGACTTATATTAGTAGACGTAACCACCATTGGCGGCGTACTGAGTGCCCTGGCTGGTCTTCACAAGATGGGCCGGGGTGATGGTGTCGCGTCCAATCGCCACGGGCACATGGGTCTCCGGGTTGAACTCCTCAATGCCGTTGGAGACGGGCTCCTCGTACAGATGAGCAGGAGTGATGGTGTTGGCTCCAATGGCCGCCGGAGCCTGGAGCTGCTTGCTGATGGCGGATACCACCTGGCCCTTGACGTAGGCGGGGATCAGACTGGGCTGGGGGGCTGCCTGGACGAAGGAGGAGCTCTTCACCACGGTGGAGGACTTCAGGTGGGCGGGAGTGTATTGAGCGGGCTGGTAGGAGCTGGAATCTCCTCCAGGAATGACCTCAGCAGCTTGAGAGGCTTCATAAGCCACAGAAGAGGACTTGAGATGGGCAGGAGTGTACTGAGCGGGCTGATAGGAACTAGAATCTCCTCCAGGAACGACGACCTGTTGCTGCTCCTGGATGTACTTGTAGTGAGCCTCTTGATCGGCCTGGGGAATGAACTTCTCCGGGGTGTAAGCGTCGGCTCCGATGGCGGCAGGAACTGGAGCAGTGGTATCAGCACCGATGGCAGCTGGAACTGAAGTCTTCAGATGAGCGGGAGTGTATTCAGCGGGCTGGTAGGAGCTGGAATCGCCACCAGGAACAACCTCAGCAGCTTGAGCGGCTCCATAAGCCACAGAGGAGGACTTGAGATGAGCAGGAGTGTATTCAGCGGGCTGGTAGGAGCTGGAGTCTCCTCCAGGAACGACAGTCTGCTGCTGCTGCTCTTGGACGTACTTGTAGTGAGCCTGACGATCCGCTTCCGGGATGAACTGCTCGGGAGTGTATGAGTCAGCTCCGATGGCGGCAGGAACCGGAGCAGTGGTATCAGCACCGATGGCAGCTGGAACGGAAGTCTTCAAGTGGGCGGGAGTGTACTCAGCTGGCTGGTAAGAGCTGGAGTCTCCTCCGGGAACGACGACCTGCTGCTGCTCCTGGATGTACTTGTAGTGAGCCTCTTGATCGGCTTGGGGAATGAACTTCTCCGGGGTGTAAGTGTCGGCTCCAATGGCAGCAGGAACCGGAGCAGCGGTATCAGCACCGATGGCAGCTGGAACGGAAGTCTTCAGATGCGCAGGAGTGTACTCTGCTGGCTGGTAAGAGCTGGAATCTCCACCAGGAACAACTTCAGCAGCTTCGGAAGCTCCAGAGACCACAGAAGCCTTTAGATGAGCTGGTGTGTATTCAGCGGGCTGGTACGAGCTCGAGTCGCTTCCAGGAACCACTTCGGAAGCATCAGATGATCCATAAGCCACAGAGGAGGACTTGAGATGAGCGGGAGTGTATTCAGCCGGCTGGTAGGAGCTAGAATCTCCACCAGGAACAACCTCAGCGGCCTTCAGATGAGCAGGAGTGTATTCAGCAGGCTGGTAGGATGAAGAATCGCCGCCAGGAACAACTTCGGAAGCCTGAGAGGCTCCAGAAGCTCCATAAGCCACAGAGGAGGACTTGAGATGGGCAGGAGTGTACTCAGCGGGCTGGTAGGAGCTAGAATCTCCACCAGGAATAACCTCAGCAGACTCAGCAGATCCAGACGCTGCAGAAGCTCCATAGGCCACCGAAGCCTTCAGATGGGCAGGAGTGTACTCAGCGGGCTGGTAGGAACTAGAATCTCCACCAGGAACAACCTCAGCGGCCTTCAGATGGGCAGGAGTGTATTCAGCAGGCTGGTAGGATGAAGAATCGCCGCCAGGAACAACTTCGGAGGCTTGAGAGGATCCAGAAGCTCCATAAGCCACAGAGGTGGACTTGAGATGGCCGGGAGTGTATTCAGCGGGCTGGTAAGAGCTGGAATCTCCACCAGGAACTACCTCAGCAGCCTCAGCAGATCCAGAAGCCGCAGAAGCTCCATAGGCCACCGAAGCCTTGAGATGGGCAGGAGTGTACTCAGCGGGCTGATAAGAACTCGAGTCGCCTCCGGGAACCACGGAACCCGAGGAGTACGACGATGATGATGAGGAGGAGGAGGTCGAGAAGCCGTAGCCACCGTCGGCGGACTGGCCTAGCTTGAGGTGACTGACATCGGCGGCAACCAGGCCCACAAAGGCCACAGCAATGAGGAAGATTTTCTGAAAGACGGGAATTGGAGGAAATTGGGCCAATTAGAATTCCATTAAAGGGCGTAGGCGTCACTGGGGGCCGCGGTACATCCCCCTAGAACCGAAACTCACCATGTTTGTGCCAAATCTGTTGGTCCACTGAGGGGTGTTTCAGGTTTTTATACCCACAAAAGTATAATGGGCCTATGCTAATTGGAGGTTTGTTTTGATCTTCCACCTATTTGGTTCCTATACCATTTCCTCCAACCTTTCTGCCTGTTTTTCTATGCTTCTCCCCAAATGGATGGGGTTTCGCGGGGAAGGGAGGTGCCAGATGGAGAATTTGCATAGACAACATAACAAAAGCAGCGATCTTATCGACTTGATTAGAACCCGAGTCGGGTTGGAGCGCCTTGGCCTTTTTGGCAATTAAACTGTCGTTTGGTTGGTACACTTGGAGATATTTTGGTTAATGTTGTCTAAGATTTGAGGGTCTTTGTACAAAAAAAAGTTGATGGACTAGAAGTTTATAGTAGTAAAATAAAATATTACCTTAGAGGCCTAGATTGGAGACTATATGATACCCGGTACACATTCATTTATATGTTTTTAGAATGAAATATCTAGTTTCGAAGTTCTTTTAATGGTTTCAAGATGATATTTTGAGAGATAATAGGAGTTGTTTTTAAGATTAATATAAAATATGAGAGTAATTATATTCTTATTCCCTTTTAGAGAATCTAGATTTTGGACTATCCGATATCCGGTACACATTCAGTTTTATTCTTCCATGTATGGCTTCAAGATAATCTATAAGAGACTGCTTTACTTGGTACCTGGTACTCTTTCAATTTATTAAAAAAATGATATATGAACTTTTAAACTTTAATATGAGAATTAAAATGATGTATTGAAAGAAAAGATAGCTTAAGGTCTACCCGAAGAGCTATATGATATCCGGTACTTACTTCAGTTTTTAACGAAGGGGTTAGAAAATGATCTATTTGAAGAGACTACATAGGTTTAGGAAAAAAATACACAGAGGCTAGTTAAGAGACTATATGTTACCTCTATGATACCCGGTACATATTCACATTAATTGAATGAATGAAGTAACAATATATAAAATGCAATTAATGGCTCTAAAATTATCTATTTAAAAAGATCTATTAAAATGTAACTTTAAAGTTTTAAATTTTTACAAGTCTAAAAAACTAAGACAGGTTATAACTTTTTTTGTCAGTGTTTTCGCCATCCTCCCGATGAAACGCTAAATGGAGTCACTGATTAGCGCCTGGCAAGTTCAGGCCCCTGGTGTCATAATCGGCTCCAGAAACCAGTTTTATCTCATCTTGGCCAAGTTTTGGCCAGATCTGCCAGCGAGTCTACTAATTGGGCTTCAAGATGGATCAATCGACGGATTCTCCATCAAAACACATATATTTTGTTCAGCTACTGCTTTAGCTTCTAAAACTTTCCGGTTGCTCTGCACAAAGGTTAGTGGTTAAATCAAAATTAACGCATGTTTTATATTCAATATTGATTCGGTTTGCCAATTTAGAGTTTCACAAACTTTATATAAAGTTGCAGAAAATATTTTATGGATATTAACTAGCGCATAACTAATCGTTTAACCAATTTTATGGCCGTCACTTGTTTAAATTAGTTTAAATTAATGAATAAGCTTGGATTTTCATAATGTGGATAGCATTTTGCATTTCACATAAAAGAGTATTTAACGGCCGTTGAGTTTTAAAATATTTGAATAGAATCTGATCTAGCATAATTAACGATCATTGAACTGCACCTTTGAAACTCGTTTTAGCCAAAATTTAATATTTGTTTATTGATTTGTTTTGTCGCCAAAAAAGTGGCCAATAGATGGATTGTCAATGGAGCTAAGTTGGCTTAATTGTTTGAAAAATGATCATAAAAATCGTTTGCAGAATTATTAATGGTCGTGGAATTGAAATGTTGATCATTTGTGTCAGGTTTTGGGTTTAATTATTTGAAGAAATGCTTATCATGTAGGCTAAAATTTCCATAAATAGAAATGACCAAGTTCTAGATCTTTCTCTTTTAGTTTTTTTCCCTTCTTAATTTTGCAAATTAATTCAAAATATTTATTTTTAAAAAGACCTTGTTTTGACGGCGCCAGACTATGTTCCCGATATTCCCAGTGACGTCAGGCCCCACTATCTCATGAATATTAAGGGGTTGTATCTTTAGGGGCGAATATATATTTTTAGACCCTCAGCATTCGGATGCAAATTGGCAAAAATTCGTCTGGCCAAGTTGGCAGAGTCTGATTCACACATCAAAGAAGAGAAAACTAGTTTTAGGCCTGAGACGATGTCTGTTTTTGATTCGCCGTTTTAATTATGAAAATTTATGCTTTGAGTTCTGTAATTAAAAAAGAACACAATATAAAATATATAGCCGCCATATACGGATTTTTTTCCTTAAAATATATTCATTTATTTTATGTAAAAATCAAAATCAACATCAAATGCCAACAAAAATCAGGTTGGACCACAAAAGATTTATAATCATGGTTAGATCAAAGAATCCATATACGAGAATATAATTTTATTTGTTTTCGTTCTTTCTCTCTTTGTGGCGAAACAATAGATCAAGTTTGTACAATCGCCTCCATACTCACTATAGTATATACAAAAACATTTATTGATATTGATTGTGCATTTGGGGGACAAACTTGTTGGTGACTTAATAGAGGTGTGGGCTCGATGGCAGATAATCTTCAGGCCCTCAATTATACTTGTCTTTAAAGACAGGCACGGAAAGAAATTTTTAAAGAAAACAAAAGGGTATAAATAAAAGGGTATTTTTTCAGAAATTTAAAACTACTTTTGTCAATGTTGGCTTACATTTCTTCTGACGACATCTTCTAACGACTGAAGTCTTGTTTTGAATTTTAAAGGTAAAAGAATAAGTAGATATTTAAAATAATTGATGTAAAACAAAGGAAGAATATATTGAAAGGTACTGGAAAAGGTAGAAAAGATAAACATAAATGCACCAATCGAAATCAACAAGCCATCTTCACTAATCGAAAATAATGATCGGTTATAATCGAAAGTATATAAAAAATATATCAAACAAAACATAGAAATTAAAAAATAATCAATATAAACGACATATAGAATAAAAAAAAGAATACAAAAAAAAGATTAAATCTAATTTATTATATTAAGATTGAATTAAATCTAAGAATGCGCTTTAAAGATGCCAAACAAAATAATCGAAAATATACCATACGCAAATAATCCGATTACTTTAATACGAATAGGTACGTGGTAAGGCTGGACCGACATCCTAACCCTGAGGCCATCAATCTTCTGGACAACAGCTACACCACCCACTGGACCTCTGCCACTCGGGCGAACGGGACTGAGCTGCAGTTGTAAAACTAACAAGGCCCACTAAAGGGCCCGACAATAATTATCTTGAATTCTATCGCTAAGGTCTACTGTTAAAATTAGTTTCCTAGGATAAGCAAACATTGTACTACTCAATATCTCATTAAGTTAAGGTCCCATTATACAATTTAATTATTGTCCATAACTTCGGACAGATTTTAAATATAACTATTGATTGATTGATAAAAAAAAAAAAAAACAAGAAAGGAAAGCTAACTTCGGGCGGAGCCGAAGTTTATATACCCTTGCAGCTAAAACCGGATATATATCGCAAACATCGGATATAGTTGGCCGATCCTTATGAGAATATGATAATATAACCCAATTTATTATAATACAAAAACCAAACCTAAAAATGTCCCAAACTTCTATCTTCAAAAACACAAAAGTTGGGTCATTTCCGATCGTTCAGTTATATGGCAGCTATAGGATATAGTCGGCCGATCCTTTTGAAATTTGGTAGGTTGGATCAACTGGCCAAAAATATAATCTGTATTAAGTTTCAGCGTTCTATCTTCAAAAACACGAAAGTTGGGTCATTTCCGATCGTTCAGTTATATGGCAGCTATAGGATATAGTCAGCCGATCCTTATGAAATTTGGCATAACGTAATGTTTTGCCAAAAATAGCTCTCATGTCAAATTTGAACTCTCTAACTCTAAAAACACAAAAGTTATACCATTTCCGATCAATCAGTTATATGGCAGCTATAGGATATAGTCGGCCGATCCGGGCCGTTCCGACTTATATACTGCGTGCAAAGGAAAGAAGGGTGTGTGCAAAGTTTCAAGACGATAGCTTCAAAACTGAGAGACTAGTTCGCGTAGAAACGGACAGACAGACAGACGGACAGACAGACGGACAGACGGACAGACGGACAGACGGACAGACGGACATGCTCATATCAACTCAGGAGGTGATCCTGATCAAGAATATATATACTTTATAGGGTCGGAGATGTCTCCTTCACTGCGTTGCACACTTTTGGACAAAATTATAATACCCTCTGCAAGGGTATAAAAAAAAAAACTTTAATACGAATATATTAAAATAGTCGTCAAAATATCAAAATAAAAGTTGCCGACAATTTTGCGCTTGTTTCGGGAAAAACGTGTAAAACATTTATATTACTATAACTAAAATACGTGCCAGCCGACAGAAACTCATACAGCTATGGCTTTGGTCTGCGCACTGACAAACGAAGTCCCAGAGACGCCAGTGGTGTCTCCGTACTCGGGAGCCGTCTTTGAAAAGAGAGTGATCGAAAAGTATCTGCTTGAGAATGGTTGCGATCCCATAAGCGGCAAAGAGCTGAAGCCGGAGGAGCTGATTGAGATCAAGACGCCGGCGGTGGTCAAGCCAAAGCCGCCAAGCGCCACCAGTATACCGGCTTCTCTAAAATCCATGCAGGACGAGTGGGATGCGCTGATGATCCACTCGTTCACACAACGCCAGCAGCTGCAAACGACGAGGCAGGAGCTGTCGCACGCCCTGTTTCCTCACAACGGCCTCGCATCCCGGACTGCACTCGGCTTCGGTTCCCGGTATCCTGGCTCTCGACATTAATAGTGCGGATCACAGCAAGATTCTGACTGGCGGAAACGACAAGATCGCCACTGTATTCAACAAGGACACGGAGCAGGTGGTAACCATCCTCAAGGGACACACCAAGAAGATCACCAAAGTCATCTACCACCCTAACGAGG